TTCAGGGGGGAAAACACTGTGAAGTAGAAATCTCATGATTTTTCCAGAAAATTCGAGAGAAACGGTGTCTGTTTCAACGATTTGTGACGAGTATTGTAGCCAGCCCGACTCATGTGATCAGGCCCTTACTGTGAGTTGTATTGTCACCGGCAGTTTGCACGGGAGCGAGCTTTGGAATTTGCTGCTTCGCGCCTGGTTCGTGTGTAAGATAGTACGTGTTAATCTAATTAGCCCAAGGGTTTTAAAAATAACTGTCACGAACGCGGTTTGCTCGTGAAGATGTTGGACTCGATTGTATCTAAAAGTACACACGAGTGACTACGAATGACCACGAGGCACGAGTGACCACGAGTGACCACGAGTGAGAGTTCGCCAAAACACGATATTTCTATTATAATGACATCATTAAAATTAAAACTCTTTAATCAGAAATAGAACATTTCTGGAGACTGAATAATGAAAAAAGAACGTGGAATTTCGTTTACTTTCCCCAAGGGCGGGTCTTGGACAAGGTGGGACCGGCAGGAATAGTGTAACACCCCGGGGGGGGGGTACTTGGGTAAATTTTTGCTGGGTAGGGGCCGCTGGCGTCTCAGAGCCCCTACCCCATTATAGTCTATTCTCTGAACAATTATAGACCCCATCTTAGCCACTTCTGGGCAAATAGGAAATTTTCGCGATCCCAACTTAGTCACTTTCTATTTTTATGAATTGATCCATTATTTAAACTATATGAAAAACACTTTCACCTACTGTATAAACATTCTGGTACGTTTGCTAACCGTAAATAAGAAGAACTGTCTTACCCCAAAAAACCGAAAATTTGCGACCCCATTCTAGTAACTCTATTGAAAATGCGAGCCCATTAGAGTCAATCCAGCCGTGAAAATGTGACCCCATCCAGCGGCACATCCCCATTAGCCGCTTATAAGGAAGTAGACCCCCCCCCCCCCCCCCCCCCCCCCCCCTAGACCCCCCCCCCCCCGCACTCTGGCCCTGAGGAGGGCTAATTTTTTTAGCCGAAATATTGGCCTATAATAAATCAGCCCTTTGCGGTAGTGCCAGCCCTGCATAGAGTTTTCTTTTATTTTACACTTTTTAAAGTGACTTAAAAGTGACGTCTGGCTACAGCATCTCTTTAATTTGAGATCTGTTAAGAGGAACCAGTCAGTTATATTTACGCGTTGCGTGGACCTCTGCATTCAAACAGTTTTTCCTTAATTTTCCTTCCTTTTTTGGCCTTTTTCCGTCACATGCACAAAATGGGACCAAATATTATCGAGTTTCTTCCGGTTGCGTCATCTTGAAAATCCCACTTTCCACTTGTAACTTATCTGGTCACCATCCCAGAGTAAAACAATACTGACTCGACAAAATGGTAGAACTAATTGGGCAAAAAAAAAAGCTTCAAAGCAACTTTCCCACATGTAAATAATCCGGGGACCACTTGTATACATTTTTACGTTCGACGTAAACGCTAAGCCTGGTCAATTTCTTTGTTTTCATTCGTCTATAATCTAAGCCTCCTTTATGCGATGGCTCCCGGTAAGACACAAGCAAGAAAAGATCTGCCACAAAGAGTGTCAATAATAATGTCAATATCAAAAAATCTTTCATGATATCGTTTTATGTGTTCATCACCAACATGATCTTTCATCAAGAACAGCAAACTAACGAAAACCAAGCCAGAGAGCTGTATACAAAATGCACATTTACTAGAAAAAAAACAACAAGAGCAACGGACAGGAAAAACCTGAGAAATTTGTTTTACAGATGAAAAAAGGGAAAAAGGAAGTTTCTCCATGCAAACTATTTAAAATACAGGGACAATTTCAATATTACTCCCACTGGGGTGGGGCTGCTCCCAACCCACCACGAGAAGAATAATGAACGGTCCTCAGGCATTCACCCTCTCGGCCTTTAAATCCGAACAAAAATCCGCAAAAAAAAAAAAATTAACGATCGTATGAATTCATGTAATCACATGACTCTTGATCACTTACTGTAATATCAAATCTTACAGACGTTTTCCGGGCCGATATCGATGTGTATTTCATTTGAAAATTTTTCGCGAAATGTTCAGAGTAGTACTAATTTAGGTGCATACACTATCGTTTCCTAACCAAGCAGTTACAAGTCAAATAGCATCTGGCTCCACAGCTCATCTCGCGCTTCGCGCAAAATGCTGCGTTCGCCTAACTTGGCAAGGCGCCCGTTATGCAGGCTTGGTTTCCCGGCTGGGCTCTACACAAAACCCTCAACTTGCTTTGGTACCAAAGTTTTACAGGTCACAGCATGTAAATAAACTGGTCGCGCAAGCACATGCAAACAACAGTCACCAGATTTATGCCAGCTCTTCTCTTTTAAAACGCTCTCAAACACCAACGCAGCCGCTAGAGAAACACTCGACATAAGATATAGGACTATGGGACAGATGTCACACTGATGTCATGCTCTTGAAACTCGTGATTTGTTTGTTATAGAAAATGATCTTAGAATTACTTGATAGGCCGCTTCCGCCACACGTGCGATTTAAGTAATTCAATCAATGATTATTTTTTGCCCATAGATTCTTGGAAACATAAAATTGGATCAACTGTAGCCTGCGTGGCAGGCGTTTGAAAGGGAAGGGAAAGGAAGTTTTAGGCACGAGAGAAAGGCGAGGGCCGGGGCGCGAGCCCCTCGCCTTTCTCTCGCCCCTAAAACTCCCTTTCCCTTCCCTTTCAAACGCCTGCCACGCAGGCTAGATCAACTGTGAGGCTTTAGATTTCCCACAACATGTAAAATAACGATAGTAACAACGTGATGTTACTTGAACGTGCACACAAATATCTGGCAAAGCATGGGAAATTGAACCAACAATCACAAACTAGTGTAAGTTTTTATTTTTTAACCGCTATAAATTAATGGGAGGCGAACTTAAAGTTAAGAGACAAATTTTATTTCACCTATTAGATTTTCACTTACTAACTTTTAATAGATCAGTTTCAACAGGAACTGGGTAATCAAGAATTAAACAAAAATTTAATTTCGCGTTTTCAGAGAAAATACCGCAACAGTCTGACAGGACTGGTATTTTTCAAAGCCTTCTTTAGAGGGCGTCGACACATTCACTTTTCCATCGCTTAACGTCAACTGGACGTTTAGGGGGGAGGGGGTAAGGCAGTGGACGTTAGTGCGGGCTATTTTTGGAAAAAAGTAAACTGATGCATTTTTACGTCATGTGTGGAACGGGGCTAGTGACATTATTCAAGAGAAAGCAGGAACAATTAAGAAGTGTGTATAAAATTTGATTTTTTAAAGTCTGCTCTTAACTACTAGCAAATTGTACATTTTACATTGTGATCTTTTAAACTCTATACTAAAATATGAAGTTTCCTCTACGTTTTAAAAGCAGTAAATTGTGTTAATACCGTTGACATCTTCACGTAAGTGCATGTCAGTATTCCTTCTGCAATGTAGTCGGGTGCACCTAATGACGGTTTTCTCCTAAGTACTTTGGAAGCACCTTTTTATGTCTTTTAATACTATGTTTTTCCTGTAAATAAGCTTGTTTACATCTTGAATAAAGTTAGTATGTTATGTTATGTCAAAACATATTTACTAAATTACCTGCTTTTGTAAACCACGGACGCGTTTTATTTCATACCATTTTATCTTATTATCCATTTTTGTACCAGATATTTTAAGAACGGACCTATGGGACCAGGCCGTAATGACTGAAGTTTGTAGATTTTGCGATGATAACTAGGTCCGGTGAGGACCGAATTTCTTTTGGAAAAATCCAAAGAAAAGTTAAGTACTACATAAAAATTCTGTCAAAGAGGTTTATTTATGAATGACACCATAGAATTTTGTCAGCGACAGATCTGGGGACACATTGGAACCTCTTGTCTGAAATAGCTACTTACCCCTGGAAATATCCTAGCTACGCCCCTGTGAGTCAAAGTTCTTATACCCTTCGATATACACTAGCACTATCGGATTCACAATATATAAACATTTTTACAATACGAACTTTAATGATCCATTGCGAGTTTATACACAAAACTGAATTAATAAAATGATTCAAACATTTGCCTAAGGGTTCATTTTAATACATATTTAGCCTTAAGCACCTTCAAGAAGTTCACGTTGAATAGAAATTTTTTACAAGAACGTTTTACATTAGTAGACACCAGACACGATTTAACAATTATGTTTGTCGAAATTTTCTTGCCATAGACAGAGTCATAGGCGGTATTAAAAGTTATGCTAAGGTATACATACTCCCCAGTAAACTGAATCTCTCTAGCAAAGCCGCTATTTTAAAGATCTTTCAGCCATCATGATTGTAACTTAATGAATGTTATTTCAATGTCTATTCTTTCAATTATTAAAAGTATGTTCATTCACAGCATTAAAGGCATCTTTTTGAAAAAGCTCAGTAAGGCTTGCTAACATTTCCTGTGACTTTTTAGTTATAGAATATGTAACTGTTATAAAGCAAATGATCTAAGAAATCACTTTCGAATAGTCATCAATAATCGATCAGCTGGCAAAAGTAACAAAATGAAAACTTTCTGATTCTTCCGAGGGTGGTTACTTGGATTAATTTTGGCTGGATATGTGCCGCTGGCCTCTCAGAGCCCCTACCCCATTATAGTCTATTCTGTAGCCAATTATAGACCCCATCTCAGTCACTTTTGGGCAAATTTGTAATTTTCGTAATCCCAACTTAGTCACTTTCTGTTTATGTATCTACCTTATATGGAATGAAGAACACTTTCCTTTTCACCTACAGACGAACATTCTGGTACGTTTGCTCACCATAAATATTAAGAACTGTCTTATCCCAAAAATCAGACAATGTGCGACCCCATTCTAGTAACTGTATTGAAAATGCGACCTCATTATAGTCGATTCAGTTGTGAAAATGCGACCCCATCCAGCGGAACATCCCCATTGGCCTCTTATAAGGACGTACCCCTCCCCCCCGCGTTACGGTGTCACTGTAACGCTCACTGTTCACCAAGTCCCTCAAACAGTGATTGCCTTGGCTTGACGAGTTTCCGAATAATATGTATAGAGGTCCTAAAACTTACAAGCAATGTGAGAGTAATTGCCGCTGTTCTGATGGCTGTGAGTTTGACGTTTTGTAAGGATCCTTGCGAATTGAGTGCAAAATAAAACAAAGCAACAACATCGCTCTCGATGTAAGCGCAAATCATACACACGCTGATGTAGAAGACGTAGCGCGTGACGTATTTGTGCTTGTTTAGAATGATTAAAAAAAGAAAATTNAAGGATCCTTGCGAATTGAGTGCAAAATAAAACAAAGCAACAACATCGCTCTCGATGTAAGCGCAAATCATACACACGCTGATGTAGAAGACGTAGCGCGTGACGTATTTGTGCTTGTTTAGAATGATTAAAAAAAGAAAATTACATACTGTGTTTACGGAATTGTAAACTGCAAAGCGAACGAAATATCTCATACCCTGCGAAGCTGGTAATGAGCAAAATGGCTCCACAACACCCAACACTAGCAAATAAATGTTCGACGCAAACCAGTCATTTCGGATTAATTTTGAAAATTTTGTGGGAATGGTCCATGTCCATCTCCATTGATTTCTACAGGCAAGGTGACTGTACATGAAAAAGCAAAATATCTGAAAAGGTGACCACCAGACAGGAGCTTCTATGTAAGTTAAAAAGTTGGGCCAGGCGAAAATGGAAGAAGCCGAAATTTGATAAAGCTGATTGCTGTCTCCAGCTTCATCAAATCTAAAAAAGGATAGTCCTCCACCAGACAAACCTACCGGAAGAGCGGCTAAAACAAGAATCAGATACCGTAAGCCTATCGCTGCTTTGTCACAAACACTGTGGTATTTTTTGACACAACCACTTCCTCGAGGACAACGATTGACATCATGAGAGTCATTGTTTACGGCACTTAGTAGGGGTTGTTCTTCAGCAGGACCCTCTTGGTATGCTAATACCTGTACTGGCTCCCCAGTTCTGTTTTCGCCTTCCTCCACAGTTCGAAATTCTCTTTCAAAATCAGTCTCGGCTTGGCCGTTTTCCGCTTCCGGCTCTAATGGATTTTCACTTCTTTCATGTCGTCCGGAATGCCAACAGAATTTCTTTGTCTGTCTCATCCACTCGAGTGTGATGATTGGCCCCACAAGAAACCAGTAGTAAAGGTTTGCTAAGTAAGATTTCATTGCATTCAGTTCTTTTGATGACGGTCTTAAAACTGGTACGCTGATTTCCACATTGGTTCTATCTGCGTTTGCAGGCAAACCCGCACACTGACCACCATAGTTCTTAGCTTCTAAAACCGGGATCAATAATATCTCTTTTCTTGGCACATATATTGCGGTTGTATTGGCAGAGTATCCGAAGTATATAAGAACAGAATACCCTGCTCTCTGAGCTTCTAGCGCCAAGTCTTGCATTGGACAAGCAGTTTCATCTTCAAGTTGCAGGATGACGAGAGCGATCTTGTTTGCTGGTATTTTCGCCTTGCTCACATCAGTGAGGGGTTGACACGCATTTTTGAGTGTCGAAGTTACTGCCAGTCCGGAAAAACGTAGCTCGCTGCCCTCGTCGGTAACTGATGCTTTCATAAAGGACTTCAGATAAGGTCCTAGCGATGTCGGGCTCAATTTATACAAACACGTAGATTCATCGGCCTGCGACAATATCAGTTTTTGAAAGTCATAAGAGTCGCCGAAAGGGTTCATATCACTGTTATAAAATACCAAGGCAAGCAAGAGAAAGAAAAGAAAAAGGCTCGTTGCCAAACACTTTCCAAGCAT